ATTCCCGCACACCGATGTCAAAGGTGTGGAACATGAAACACAAAAAGGATAAAGGGCGATGGTTCAAAATCTACTGTCCACCATCTGAAGGATGGTGACAATTTATTGACTGAAAAGGCTGATATGCTAATAAGCTTGGTGAAACTCTCGCCAAGCATCCGTCTTCGTCCAATTATGTCCCTGAGTTTCAGAAATACCAGAAACAACAGGAGAAGAAGTATTTTACCTGAATCATGTTTGGAAACACTTCTAAATATTTTTGATACAATATGGATACAAAATAAACAACATGCAGTATCGAAACTCTTTGATTTCAGAAAAGCATACGATACCACCTGGAAGCATGGCATATTAAAGGATTCACATGATTTGGGTTGTAAGGGTCGTTTACCTCATTTTATATCACAGTTTTATCACAGGTCCGAGTGGGTTCAACCCTGTCTGATCATTACAATCAGGATCAGGGTGTGCCACAAGGCAGCATTTTGTCTGTCACAATGTTTAGTATCAGTGTTAACCAATCGATGGATGATTATTTGTGGATGAGTTTAATATTTCTTGTCGCGGTATAAGTATGCATACTATAGAACGGCAACTGCAGATGTGTTTAAATAAAATAAATAAATGGTGTCTTGAAAACGGCTTTAAATTTTCTAAATCAAAAACAAATTGTATACATTTCTGTCGTAAAATATAAACAGCATAATGACTTGAACGAATTATAAAATGGCACTGCCATCAAAGTTGTCAAGAAGGCCACGCCAATATGCGTGATATTTCTTCCGCATATCAAATACCTCACAAATAAATGCCTGAAGGCACTTGACTCGTTAAAAGTCGTTTCTAATTCAAAGTGGGGAGGGGACCAAACTACCCTCCTACACTTACACAGATCACCCATCCGCTCGAAACTAGGTTGCGCCTCCATCGTGTATGGCAATAAGTGAGACCACAAGTTGACCGTAGATTGACCACATTTAAAAAATCTAAATGAATTAATGAATTACAATATAGACAAGAATTTAATCGCTCAAAAGTAAATATAATACCTACAAATCCGTATTTACAGATGGGTCCAAGGATGGTGGCGCAGTTGCTTGTGCCACTGTATCTGGGTCCAGAACAATATCTTCTAGATTACCCGATGACAGTTAAATTTTTACAGCAGAAGCAAATGCAATACTAACAACTCTTAAATATATTAATACACACCCTAAATATAAACAGTATATAATCTTTTCAGTCACTCTTTCGTGCCTTCAGACTATGAAAAATCTCTCTTGTAAACATCCACTTTTAATCGAATAATTGAATTATATAATGATCTTGCTACTGGCCAATACGACATCGTCCTCTGTTGGTTACCAAGCCACATTGGAGTTTCTGGTAACATCATGGCCGAGTTTGCTGCTAAGGCAGCACTCAACAAATCTGTGACACCACTTCTCATTACATACTCCGAATGCTACCTTTAGATCGTACATCCGTGATCTGATGCAGAAGAAGTGGGAAGTATTAATAAATTACATGCTATACGACCCTATATTGGTTACACTTACCTGGGTTGTCAGTCCAGATTTGATGAAATCATTTTAAGAAGATGCCGCGTTGGCCATTCTCGATATACACATGAATACCCGTTAAAAGGTGAGGATCCTCCGTTTTGCATACCTTGTGATGAGAGAATCACGGTCAAGCATGTCTTGCTTGACTGAACTGATTTTTCCATCACAAGTGATACACATTTCAATGTCAAAACATTGAAGGATCGTTTTAGTGTAAATTATCATTTAATTATTGCATTTTTAAAAGGAATAGAGTTATTACATAAATCTTTATTAACGTTGTGTAAATAGAAAAAAAATGTTTCATGACTAGTAGTCTGAATTAACAACTGAGATTGTTAGTGGCTGTATCCTCGAAAGGGGTTAAAGTATTGTAAAATTATTGTACTCCTGAGAGGGTACGTAAGTCCCAAAACTTTCAAAGTAAATTCAAACTTACTATTATTTTAACTGCAGTATATATAGCTGAAGATATAGCTGAAGGGATTGTGTAAATCCAGCTAGGGTCCATGCAAGAAGCAAATGTACTGTAAGTCCCCTTGGTCCCTCGTATGGTGATCTACCTTCGGCTGCTGGCAATATTTTTATTTTGTATCGTCTTCTATAGTTAAACTGTATTAGATTTAGTTACTAGTTTTAAATTAATAGCTGTGATAGTCTAGTTGTATTACTGTCCTTCGTTGACAGGTGTTTAGCCGAAGACTCTGGCTCATGGGTACTATGAATTACATTATGTATTGCAGCTATTTTTAAGCACTAACATTACAACTACACAGTTAATTGCCCATTTATGGGATCACGTTATTGCTTTTGTCTGCATATTCAACACGTGTTCTTCATGCATAATTTCGAATGTCATGCGTTTTAATGTGCAAGGCAAGGGCATGGTAAATGTACAGCTCAAGGATAGTTACAATCAAATAATTAGTTCCCTCATATTGTCATTCCATTAATTTTAACAGTATTATATGCAATACGGAATTATATGATGATATGAGTTGTGATATTGCTGAAATATTGCTGAAACTAATATAAAAGTGTTTTGAGACCCAAGTGCAAATAATACATACATTTAAAACGTTTGTCACAGGAGCCGGTAATAATGTTCATTACGTGACATGCATAAACCTGTGAAAATTTATGGTGACTCGTTACGCAGAGAGTATAGTCTCCGTACATCAACGTGATGGTGTTAAAGTGAATCTTTCTATCTGATTATGTAACTTTCACAAAAAACTCGGTGCATAATCACGTCCACGAGATGTCTAAAATGGACTGTTCATCTTATCATAGTAAGAGGAATTGTTAATTTTACTATACGAAACTGGCAAACGTTAAATTAATTATGTAGACAGGATATATTTATGTCTAGAATGACATTACTCAAGTAATATTATGAGCTAATACCCTGGTTAATCCCAAATGTGTTGTACAATGACTGTCAGATATGCTAAACCAGCTGTGCAGGTATCCTATTACTGACTGACTGAGTTTAGTTTTACGCCGCTTTTAGCAATATTCCAGCAATATCACGGCGGTATCCTATATAGTAATTATTTTTTTTTTTTAATTATGACTTAATATGCATCAAGTGACATTGGATGTGAGCCTTGCTGGGATAAACCATGCTTGTGATAACAGGCGACTAACGGGATCGAATGGTCAGGCTCGCTGACTTGGCTGACACATGTCATCGTTTGTCAATTCAATCACTGGATTGTCTTGTCCAGACTGGAATACTGCTGAGTGTGGTGTCAAACAACAAACCACCAACAACAACAACCTTGCTGGGGTAAGGCAAGGTGCTGCCACTGCTATCACCGCTACCTAGCATATAGTGCCTTTTAATTTGTCTACCTGCAAAAGCAAACTCTTGCAATCGAAACCCGTACACCGACCACTAACATACAGAATTATCATGATCAGGTCACATGTGTCTCCGACGCACAGAGTCACCGTTAACGTTATTGTTATCTTGTTTAATAATCAGCTCGGGCCACAATGAAGATGATTGTCGAACGATGTCATTTGAATAACATTAATACACTAACTTGAGACAGTATCGTATGTCCAAGCACGAATATCCAGATGCAACAATCAGTCTGTGCTGTATCCCTGACGTGACATAAGAGGAGAATATGTGTCGAACGTACTTGAAGCATTATCTGATGTAATAGGTACAGGCTGCTAAACATGCAAAAGGTTTCACACGGATTTTTCAATTGGGTTTGAGGTTCTCAATATTATAGGTCAAACTGAACACGACTAATTGTCTTGGATGATACATAATCAGAAAAAAGAGTTTCTAAGCTTCTGAAAGGTTCACTGAAACCTAAAATGTTGTGACCCTATTAGCAAGAATCGTATCACGCTCATTAAAATCTATGTTGAAACAGAATACTTTATGGCATCTCAAAAGTTGTGAAATGTTGACATCAAATAATTGCTGGAATACTGTATTCTGTTTTGCATGTTATTTCTAGTTCATATGGGAATATCAGTGGAACAGAATATGTCTGTTGACCGTTATTTAACGATATCCTATGTTACCAAGCCGAGCAGAAATTCAGCCTCGTATATGTTATACTGTATATTATAGATGAAACACACAACTGAGGATTAATTTCCCATGAAAATAAATGTTTAATGCTTCCTTCCCTGATCACTAATATCCCTTACTCCAGACAGATGTTACATACGAGGACTTGATGTTGATAAAATTATTAGCATTATTTCTTTTATTTTCGAGAAGGTATGATGTACTTATTATATGTATGGTTGGTTTGGAAATAGATACTATTGTAGGTTACATGAGCATCAGTCAGTTTAACGCCAGTCCCCACCCAATCCCTCATCGTCTCCCTGTTCAGTTCCATAACAACAATAGTGTGTACCCTTTTGCTGATCTAAATGTTGAAAGTGTAAAAGTGGTCGGATGCAACCGAAATAAACCTTTTGTCAAAATTCATAGCATATGCCAATATTGCAAGCGGATAACAAGTGTTTACACAGACAAAAGGGCAAACACAATATAGTGAGTGAGAACCAGACAATCCAGTGATCAACAGCATGAGCATCGATCTACGCTATTGGGGTACGATGACATGTGTCAACCAAGTCAGCGAACCTGACCACCCGATCCCGTTAGTTGCGAGCATGGTTACTGAAGACCAATTTTAAGCCGGATCTTGAAGGGTCCAATGAAAATATACAAAGAGTGTGGTGTGGACAGACGTCTTCCTGTCATGGCGAAATGATCACAGCCATTGCATTGTTTATGTTGTTTAAACAAAAATTTTTGAATAAATGCACAGAGGTTCTGTTGCTTTTAGAAAAGAAACATGTTTGGGAAATATATACAACGCAAAATCTGCAACACAAACTAATTCTCCGTCATAAGAAACAAAGTTAGATCCATGTGTTGTGTTTTTCCAGTATCTTGGAATGAGGTTCGACTCAAATGCTGTCCGGCTTTTGGGCACATGCATTGGGATGTTACAAACGGTAGGTCTGTGTTTTCATAAATCACTTCCTTGATAACATAAAATACATCAGATTTGGGACATTCCTTTACACGGAGCCGTGTAATTATGACAATGATACTTCCTTGTATATTCCAGTTAGTCTACATGGCAATTGCTCTGCTTTCCCCGGGGCTGGCACTCCAGGCAGGTACGTACACTCCCCCTTCACCTTGATTCCACTGAAATCAAAACTACATGGCACATCCCTTTGGGATGTCAACATTGTTGAAGTAATGTTGAAATATGAATTGTCGCAGGAAAATATAATTCCTGATATATTCCAAGATTTTCATGATACCTCTTGGCTATTCACATTTGATCTCTGTGATCAGAATTTCGGTTATCTTCAGATTTTTGTTTATTTTCAGTGGCAGGATTACCATTGTGGTTGTCGATTGTCATTGTGGGCATTGTTGGGACAATATACACATCCATTGTGAGTAAAATTCATATACCTACAGTATATTACATGATATCATGTTAATACCTGATATGGGCGATGATATGTGTTCTTACCATCAGACATATCATTGAGTGGAACATATGTTGATCGTAATCAAAACTGAAAACAGTCTATATGCACTAATATATATAAACTGCGTTGATTCAGTATAACCATACATTAAACGTTTGGTTGGTTAATTATGAGAAATGTATATTCCCATTTAGTAATTTTATCTTTATTGATAGAGATATGTGGTTTAAAGGATACACTGGAATCACTTACCTTTGATTAGGCTTTGAACAGAATCATACAAAACTAATGAAATGCCAATTCCTACCATCAGACATATCTTTGCAAATTGTGGGAAACATATGTTGATCCTAAAGCAAATGAAAGTGCATATGGGTGCAGAGAAGAGAAGAAAAAACTTTATTACCCTGAATGGGAATTTGCTGTACATTATCACAGAGCACACATATGAATATAGGATAAATGAGATAAACCTAAGAACGTTTCTCACAGGTAAATGTACTGTAAAATAAATTACTGAGCACAGATTAAAAATGTGCAGGTACAACAGTTATGATTAATATAACAACAACAATGTACATATACAGGTAAAGATAAGATTTGTATTTAAACATTTCATTTATTGTTTAAAAAGCCGATGCTGGACGGAATGAACGATTTCAGGGCTCTATTTGATAAAATTGTGGAATTTGCCAGACGGTAAAAGTTCATTTTCTGTTTTTAAAAGTCCATGCAGGAAGCAAATGTACTGTAAGTCCCCATGGTCCCTAGCATGGTGATCTACCTTCAGTTGTTGGCGATCTATAGCCTGTTTTATATTGTCTTGTCATTTGTAGTTAAAGTATTTTAGATTTTAATTACTAGTTTTAAATGTATTTCTGTGATAATCTAGTTGTTTTACTGTCTTAGCAGACAGGTAAGTATATACTTTCTTTTTATTCATTTATGTATGTACAACTTTCTGAGTCATGGCTGAAATACTGCCGGTGTGACTTTAAATTTTAACTCACTCACTCACTCTGTGTTTAAAATGTGTGGGGAGTCATGTTAAATTTTATTTGCCAAACTTTCTTTCCTCATACACGTAAACCAAAAGATCGACAGAGGTTCTATTCTGTTCTGTTCTATTTTAGAATGCCTATCAGGATCAGAAATATCGTTCCAACATAGAACAGCAAAAGAAATGCAAGTTATAAAAATTTAAATCTCATGAAGGTAAGCGTTCATTTTTATGGAAGGTTCATGGTAAAGTGACGTGACGATCCCAGATGAGATGATGTCATGCAGTTTGACGTCCATACGAAACATTCGCACAAACACACCAACAGTGCAGCAAAACCATAGTTTTAGCATGTGCATCGATGGTTCTGAATGGAAAGCATGCATTTCACTCTGAGGTATCCTTTATAAAGGTTTGTGTCAAAAATCAGTTCAGGATTGATGCTAGGAGGTGTACAAGCCACATAAACAATACCTAGACTAACGACAGAGCAGAGGGGAATGGCCATTGGAAAGTTACACGGAGTTAGCTCTGCAACTGCTGTAGCTAGACAATTGGGCTGTCATTTTACCACCATTACACGACTTGCTCAACGTCATCAGCAAACCGGGGTTGCTGCTGATCATCACTCTACCGGACGGCAACGAGTGACAACTCATGCGCAAGATCGGTTCATCCGGGTCACTCATCTAAGGAACCAAACTCAAGCAGCAACAGTAACAGCAGCCTTAGTTCTTTGGTCAAGGGGAGCAGTGTCCAGCGATACGATTAGGCGTCCTGGAATCCACTGCCGAAGGTTATATGTGGGGCCAATTTTGACACGTCAACAACGCCAGCGACGTTTACAGCTCTCACACAGCCAGAGTGTCGATGGATTATCTGGCTCAGAACAACATTAACGTTTTTCCATGGATGTCTCTTTCCCCGGACATGGCTCCCATTGAACATTCTGAGACGAAATTGGACGGAGGATTGCTGCACGTAGACAGCCACTCACACTTGCACAATTGGAATAGAGATGGGTGTTTGAGCGGAACCAATTGCCTAAGGCGTAAAGACTCCAGTGAACACAGGCATTCTTTCAGACTCTAGTGAACTCAATGAGGCGACATTGCACAGTCTGTGTGCAAGCTCAAGGTGGCTATACGCGGTACTGAAGAGACTCTCACTTTTCGGGTTCAGGGGTATCTCCATTTGACGGACTGTGATCAGTTTCAACTTATCGAAGTTCAATGTCAACAGTACCTTTCAGCTGTTAAATTGACAGTGTTTTCTATAGAATTAATGATAAGACATACTCTTGGTGGTTTTCTATCCAAAAACGTGACAAAAAGCCAGACTTGCGTTTCTTTTGCTGTTCAGTATATATTGCTTCTAACGAAAAAGAACTCTTTGAAATTCTAATGTATTTATATCTGCTAACACTACAGGGAGGTATAAAGAGTGTGGTGTGGACCGACGTGTTCCAGTCCACGGTCATGCTGGGAGGAATGCTCACAGCGATTGTTCTGGTACGTCGACTGGGCGTGATAGATCCTCGGTTTGTTACGGTTCATGTATGAAACGACTCATGATGACGTTCAGCTGATCTGGTTCCGATGTCTGTCTGTAATGCTTAGTGACATTTTAAATCAATGATTGGTATTTTCTATGCAGTATAGCCCTGATTTGGGTCAATGTTTTAGGTCGTGACACAACTGAAATATAGTAAAAGCAATAAAACCAATGCTCTTGATATCCAACATCTAAACTTGTACAACCAACTGGACGAGGAAAATAGTCTTCTCACAATAAATGATCCTTTCCATAACAACGGATGCATTCCGAATCAACAATGAGGTCTTTTACGCGAGACCTCGCTGCTGCTCATGAATGTTGGGGTTGACTTTAGTCATCAGGGGTACATTATCTGAGTGCCATTGTAGATCACATCGAAGGTGTCATGGGGACAATATTCCAAAGGCTTTGAGGTTATGAATATATGTCCTCAATCTGAATACACATATGCATAACTGTTCATGTTGCTTGGAGTGTTACATATAAACCAGATTTGATGGTTGATGTTGCACAGCAGGAATATACGGCGTGTTCGTGTTTTAGGCGAAAGGCCTGGGTTCATTCCAAACTAAAATACAAAATGTAAAGCCAACTTCTTTGTTACGGCCGCCCCGACATTGCTAGAATAACGTTAAAAAAGACGTACAAATATACTCCTTCACTATTTTAGGGAATTATGAAGGCTGGAGGAGTGACGACTGTAGCAAGAGTTGCACAAGAAGAAGGGAGACTACAATTTAATGAGTATGTAGCATCAGAATATGATAGGACAAACTCGGAATTCGGTTTTCTTTAAAGATTGTTATTCCTTTTGATAAATAACCATTGACGTTTGCTATTACAGTGTGCCATTTTTACAAATACCTCTTACCAATAGTATCTTATTATGTTATATAATATATCCACAATGTGGTATTTGACGTTCAAGAGGATAAACACCCTATTTGATTCAAGTATGATGTTTTCATATCATAATTTATCAAAGGACACGTTAATAATTAAGCTCTACCAATCAGGCAACAATGGAATATTTGTTACTCACGATATACAAGATCTATTGCTACTAATGTTTGCGGATGACATCGTCCTTTTTGCTGCCAGTGTAATAGGTCTTCAGCGCCAACTTAATATCCTGGAAAAATTGTGTATCAAATGGGGATTACAGCTGAATCTTAACAAAACAAATATCATAGTGTTTCGTAACGGATGAATTCTGAGACATTCTGAAAAATGGACTTTTTGTAAAAATCCTCTTAAGGTGGTTACATACTACAAATATCTCGGCATAATATTTCATCTAGGCCCGTGTGGACCAAAGCCTGTGAAATACTTGCTCAACAAGCAAGTAAAGCCTGCCTCTCTGTTTCCAGACTTTTTAACAAGTATCAAGAACTAACCTATTCAAGTGCAAGAACTATATTTGATCGAAAAGTGGCACCTATACTACTATACTGTTCGGAAATATGGGGACATAAATATTCTGATGTAATCGAGAGGGTCCATACTATGTATGTCAAACTATTTCTGAAAATTGGAAAATGTGCTTCAAACAAAGCCACACTTGGAGAGCTTGGACGTTACCCCATCTACGTTTTAACACAGATTCGAGTAATAAAGTTTTCGTTCAAGATACTAAGTATGAATGAACAACGTTATCCACTGCAGTGCTACAGAATGCTAAAAACATTTGATGACTTGGGCAGAACAAATTGGGCATCCAATGTTAGAAACTTACTATTCAGAAACGGGGTTTGTCATGTCTGGTGAAACCAGGGCGTTGCTAACGTTCAGCTATTCATGTATACTTTTGAACAACGATTGAAGGATATTGCCAGCCAAACTTGGCACAACGAAATCAACAGCTCCACTTTTTTCAGCCATTATTTACAGTTTAAACATGAACTTTGCCTGGCGTCCTACATAACAGAACTAAAATATAAACATCTGATCCGTGCACTTATCAAGTGTCGTATTTCGAATAACAACTTTAAAGTGAACATGTACAGACTTAATGAGGATGCCCCACGTACGAACTACTTGTGTTCATTATGTGATGCCGCAGAAACAGAAACTGAGAACCATGTATTCTTCCGATGTGACAAATATCAGCGGTACAGAGACAGTTACTTCAAACAATTACAAAATGTCTACAAAGGCCCACTCACTCTGCCGTCAATTTTGCAATGCAAAAACCCCCAAGTTATATACTGCACAGCACTATTTTTACATTATGTTTTAAAGTAAGATCCCAATACAAATTATGACCACTGTTTCACGAAACTGCCAAAGTTTGTGACTGTATTATAGGCCATGAGGCCGATATTACGAATAACCTTCTGTCTGTCTGTCACACTACCCCCTGACAGTGCTGGAGCCCATTTCAGAATTGTTTCTCTATTGCTTTTCTCACATATTATGCGGACACAGTGATAAACGGTTTCAAGCTTAAATCTCACTTATTAGCCATTCATATCACTTTGTGTCTCTTGAACATTAATTTAGATTTGATCCTGATCCGAGGGTGCGGCATACAGTTTGGGGACTTGTGATTGGTGGATTTTTTAATTGGTATGTCAGCCTCTTCAGTCAGTCGATGGTGCAAAGAATATCTGCAATCCCGACACCGAAAGGAGCCAAAGTGTAAGTAGAGCTATTATATATAATTTCCTTATCGTATGCATTTTGATGTTTTAAATTTGTTTTAGTTTGTTTCTGGATTTGGTAAGACAGTGGTGTACCTATCGTCCGAGTGACTAGAATTCATTAGATCAGAACTGCGTCCCTTTGGCGAAGTTGATGCAACAATCTTGATCTGACAGCAGGTTTCCCCTGCTCGTGGGATTTTAACAATTACTTGTGACTTTTCCCCGAGGTTTCAGTTATGGTCTCATTGAGACATTGTAACTTATATTCATATTATTTGTGTAACTGCCTTCACTTCAGTGCCTACCTCTTGAATGTCCCGATGGTGATTGTGTATGGGATTTTGCTCACCACAACAGGACTGGCTCTCTATGGCTTCTTCCATCAACTTGGATGTGATCCCCACGAGGCGGGATACGTGTCTAATCGGAACCAGGTGAACATCTAGATAAAACATTGTAATACAAGTAGAACTTTATTGTATTGGTATCGTGATGTAGTGATCAATAAAGGACAATATTTTGAAGTATGTTTGTGTTGGTGTGAAGACTTGTCACTTTAATTCACTGTCCTGCTTATGGTGCAAGATAATGTACAAATTGATCTCCACCGTGAAAGACTGTTGTGAAGAAACAACACGAGTAGCAGAATGATACTGACTGGAGAAGCCATGGGAATGATGTGTGTAAGTGTCTGGTGGGTGCGGCAGTCATGAAGTGCTACTTGTTGGAGTAATGTCTAAATGTGACAATGTTGTTGTCTTGAAACAGTGGACGAATATAGCAGCGATGTTGTTCTTGAGGTGGATGTAGTCTTTAGAAACAGAAAATAATTTAGACATGTAATGTGGAGATGGTTGCATCCTCCTTACAAGGGAACTGTTACTGTTTATATACCTGCTGTGTTATAATGTCGATGTCACCAGACTGTCATCGAAACATGGTTTGCCTTTTTGTAGTTGATGCCTTTCTTCATGATGAACCTCTTGTCGTCCTACCCTGGCGTGACTGGTCTGTACATGTCTACACTGTTCAGTGGCGCCCTCAGGTATGTATGTATGCAAGGACAGGCAAAACGGAAGGTGTTTCAAAGAGTTACAAGTTACTGTTAGAAGAATACAGAGTCAGGCACATGAGCAATAAGCCATTGTCCTCATCAATGTATTTAACGAGGTATGATTTTAATATATTTTGTTTTCTTAGCACCCTGTCTTCTGGAATCAACGGTTTAGCAGCCAACACTGTTGAGGATATTCTTCGACCGTGCCTTCAGAGGAACAGAACGTCTGATTACGCTGTTACGATTTTAGCCAAAGTGTTGGGTAAAGATTTTGCTCACAGCAGCTAACAACGGATGGATTGTACATACACACGGGTGGTCAGGTTCACAATCCAATTTGTTCGATAGAAGAATCTGAAAGCCTTTAAAGGTCACATAAACCCTAGGGGGTAAAAATACATAAATCACTAACTGGCATCGTTATAAATGAAACCCCGTCATTAAAACTACTCATTTCGACCTTTAATTGACTTAAATCGACCGTTTTGACAACAGTGCACAATTCTCACCCGCGAACGAAATTTCAACCAATCAGAGCGGCGCGACTCTGTGACGTCATATGAGGAATAGCTTTGAGGGCCGATGCAGAATTCATCTACATTTTAGGGGGTAAATTATCTTGTTTACAGGCTTTCATAAACCTGAAATCGTGAAAATTGTTGTGGAAAATGAAAGCTATATGTTCTCACAATCTACTGGCATTTAATTTTGTCTCCTGCTTTGCCTAGTTTCCGAGTTACAACTTGTTTTCATAGACGCTTCTGTCACAATTGATTGGTGTTGTTAGGCCCTATTTGTATAATGACTGATCCAAATTGATCCCATTTCTGTGTTTTTTTACCTCGATATTTAATCATGTCATGTAAAAATCTGTTTGTATTCTCAAAACAGTGTCGGCCCATAAGTTTTCACATGCAATACAGCAATTAATACTCATTGTAACCCGTGTTAGGTGGTATAAACCTACACATGTTATTTGTCATCATTCACTTGATGGTCAGTTAATGAATTTATAACAGGTATAATTAGTGGTAACACACTTAGATTACCCGACAAAGGTTCCCATTTGGCATTTCTTGTGTCTGGAGTAAATATTCAACATTATAAACATCGATCAAAGGATTAACCGATAACACGCTGATTGATTAATTACTTTTATCTTACGCAGCGGATTTGTCAAAAGGTAGTGTTTATGTATGTAGATTTACTAATCTATACTGAATACACTCTGCCGTGTCGGTGTCTGCGTAAAAACAACGTCCTTCTTTCAAAGGATTTACCGGCAATACATTGATTGATTGCCCATTATTGGCTAACTAAATTACTGTTTTTAATGAAAGGCGGACATTATGCAATTAGTTGCCAGGTGTGCTATCTTGGGTGACCAGTGAGACTATACACCAATACCTGAAAAGATTTATCACTTTTTCGTATATTAAACTGTTAAAAGACACATCATTTGGAACAGTTTTGTCGATATTGATGGATACATTCCTAAAACAAGGTAATGGCCTGACATTGTTCCTATAACTTTAATCTGTTTTCATTTTAATATTTGCATTTTGTTTTTTATTCATTTGTCGTAGCATTCAACAGAATCATTGTTTTCGCCGTGAAGTGTAATGAGACAGACAACATACACTAGGGTGTGTGTGCGAATTATGATTCACATTGGCAAACTATAAAATGTCTAGATATTACAGTTCTGTTATAAATTCACTATAAGTATCAGCAGATCGTCAGCTTTTTATTTAGTTTCAAAATGCATAAAAGTATGATAATAAACTAATTAGGATTATAAGACCAAATATAAAGACGCACATTGACTAGTGTCTACATACTGGTGAGTGGACATTAACCATGTGAATGTAGCAAGAAATTTATCGCGCAGTATTGTGACTTCGACCCCCACCTCGCTTCCGTGGAAGAAATCGTTATGTTATAAGTTGTGTCATGCAAAATCCGTTTGGTTATGATTCCAATACATATTTAACTACGAGTAGAAAGTAGTTTTGATTTTCTAACTTGATGAAAACAAACTATAATCTCATTAATTCTAACAGACTTTACGATTTTCAAAAATGGTGGCGCCCTGTCGGGAACATCCGCCAGTCTGTGGATAAATGCTATTTAGGTTTGTTTTCACCGAGTTACAAAATCAAAACTGCTTTCTACTGGTAGTAAAATATGTATTTTATTGATGGCCAATAGGATTTTGCATGACATAGCGTATAACATAACAATTTTTCTCCTGGCAGCGAGGTGGTTGTCAATATAATACTACTTACAATATTATTGTTACACAACCTCACTTCCGAGGAAGAAATCGTTATGTTACAAGTTGTGTTATGGAAAATCTTTATGGTCATCAATCATATACATATTTTACTATAACTAGTAAGTAGTTTTGATTCTTTAACTTCCGTGAAGCGATCTGAACACAAGTAAGATATCGTTTCAGGCTTCCACAACGCTCGCTTCGCACTCACAAACATAACCCATTTAGCACGAACTGCGGGGCCCTGTGGAAATCTGTGCATGGTGACACCATCACCCGACCCATAGGAGCAATTGACGACAAAGCAACGATTCGGCACGTCGTCGTTGATGTCGAGAAATCATCAAAATGATGAGCGTGCTACACACTTTCTATACAACTAACTGAAAATCGTTCCTCATATGACGTCACTGCAGTGCTCTGGCGACAGAGTTACGTAACCTGTCTGTGGTTTCGTTGGCGGGCGAGAGGGAAGCAGGCGACTTTTTGGCCACTTTTAATCGCTCGGTATTAATTAACCACAAGTTTTTAAAGAATAAATTTGGTGTTCCGCATAAGACTAACCACAAATCTTTCATATGTAATGGTTAAAAGAGTAACAAAAAACAAAGTTTAGTGGTTCTTTAAACACCTACTCCATTTTTTAACGGAACCCATTTTGTCTGTCAATATCTGCCAGTTGGTTAAGCAGTAAACCATAACCCGGTTTACATTTAAATCCATGCCTCAAGACATTAACGTCTAGTCTTAGGTTTGTATTTATGTAAGGTAAAGTTAATTACTTGTATAACAGGAGTAGATATTGGTGGTGCAGACGCATTGTGTAATTGAGGTTTTACCTGCTTCTCATTTCGGACTACTATGGCAGTGATGGTGAAAGAAACAAAATTCATTCTTCTCCCACTGTTTGCTGAATGCCATGCGTCTATCTTTCAGTGTTTGTCTACGGTATCCTGGCTATTGGGCTGGCTTATGCTGCAGACTCAATGAAAGGCCCAGTGTCACAGGTTGGATGTGCAATACAGTTGCAGATACCAGAACTCCACTGCTCAAGTCAATTTCACACACAATCATCATACAACAGCTATAGCCAGATAAACAGGGATATATAAAGTGCATTAAAATAATTACAGTTGTACCTGGAGACAGGCACATATACTCATTCACTCGCAGATATATGCAAATAAACACCTGTACACACACACACACACACACATATATATATATTAGAAGCATATTAAATGGTTATTTCTATTATATATATATATATATATATATATATGTAAGCAGCTATTCGCATATATACACAGATTGAAACCTGTATTCGCAGTTGTGACTGGATATTTACAGACTATGTATCGCCTTCCACAACATAGAGTGTTATGTAATGCTTTGAGTGCTGGCAATAATGCCAATATATTCTGTTCCAGTCCTCCCTTGCGGCCTTTGGTGCCACCGGTGGTCCTGTCCTTGGCATGTTTCTCTTGGGAGCTCTGATTCCATGGTGCAACAAAATGGTAACACTAATCCTGCATTAACGTATGGAAATATGGGCGTGTGAAAGGGATGTTGTAAACCTCTGTCATCATTATTGGAGCCGTGCTACGGAGCATTGTTACGGAGCATTGTACCCGTGAAGAACCGGTTTTATAATTGATAGAGCAGGGGCTTGTATAATTCCGTGGGTAATTCATGTTAGTTGATGGAACCAATACTAATTGTAATCACTATTGTGTATGGATTCAGAAAAAAAAATGGTTCCATTTCTTCTGTTTGCTATAAGTGTCATTTTGAGGTGATTGAATATGAGTTCCCAAAATTGCTTGCGATACCAATTTGAGACAAAAATGTTTTCATAAACTTTTCACAACATAGTCATGTAGCATATCAAAAGGTAGCTTATGATGCATGATGTAGAAATAACCAATGGCATATAATATGCCTCTAATTTCAATTTGAACGCATAAAATATGACATAATCATATAAATTGATCAAATATAATCTTTCCTTCATCGGACACCAACATTGTAAGTATTGGTCTGTATTAATGGAAATCATTTCTTCAATTAATGTATTCTCCCATTTCATAATATATACAGCCATGACACTTATGTAGGTAAGGTTAATGTGACCAGCAAAAAGTCACAGGCCTACCAGTGCAACCAGAATTGGCACACTAACACTCGTGTATGGTAATCAAATGACAAATAACATACACCCAAATCTGCAGTCAGTACAAACTGAATATATAAGTACATGAGTGGAAAATTATATTATAGTGAACAGAAAACTACAAATTACAAGTGGGGTATGCAAGTGCAATATGTGATGTGTAATAGTATATATATTTTAACTTTCACAACGATTGTTGGCTTGCTTCGACCACACATCCGTTTTGCGCTTACACATCGTTATTCATTTATGTCAAGATCGTTTAGTTGAGGATCAAAATCGGGTTTCAATCGAGAAGAGGTAGGTGTGATAAGTGGTGATCGACATGCCAATCATGCATAATTATGTTTACATTAAGTTTTGATCGATTGCATGCGATGGTACCGTAGCGATCGGCAAAGCAGGCGGGTGGGGTACAGCAAAGTATCCGGCCTTGTCATAATGTATTATACTGTTAAGCGTTTCGAGTCGGGGGTCATCTCAATTTGTTTATATATTTTTAACATCTTTAATCCTCGCAAAGACCTGAGGGCCTGTGACACAAGCCCCTGCACTGTGATTCTCCACGCTTGTCGTAAGAGGCAACTAGCGGGATCGGGTGTTTAGGTTCGACACATAGTTGCGTAGATTGATGCTCATGAAGTCAATCACTGGATTGTCAGGTACAGATTCAATTATTTACAGGCCACGGCCATATAGCTCTAATATTACTGAGTGCGGCGTTACACAGTAAAAACAAACAAACAAACAAATCGATTATGAACCAGGCAAAACGTTGAATAAATCTAAAATCAAAGATGCTTGTCACCGGGTCACGATGACACAATGAAACAACAGAGATTGACTATGTGATCAATTTTAACCGATTGTTGCATACTCCGGGTGTCGTACAACCAAAACATCGGGGCAGGGAAAGGGGATAATGATAAGAACACTTTAACAGATCAAACAACTGTTTTGCTTTAGAAGGATTAATTTCCAAATGTGCCAAAGTTATGTGACGATGTTTCCAAATGTGCCAAAGTTATGTGACGATGTTTCCAAATGTGCCATAATTGTGTGACGATGTTTCCAAATGTACCATAATTGTGTGACGATGTTTCCAAATGTGCCATAATTGTGTGACGATGTTTCCAAATGTGCCATAATTGTGTGACAATGTTTCCAAATGTGCCATAATTGTGTGACGATGTTTCCAAATGTGCCACAATTATGCGACGATGTTTCCAAATGTGCCATAATTGTGTGACGATGTTTCCAAATGTGCCATAATTGTGTAACGATGTTTCCAAATGTGCCATAATTGTGTGACGATGTTTCCAAATGTGCCATAATTGTGTGACGATGTTTCCAAATGTGCCATAATTGTGTGACGATGTTTCCAAATGTGCCATAATTATGCGACGATGTTTCCAAATGTGCCATAATTGTGTGACGATGTTTCCAAATGTGCCATAATTGTGTGACGATGTTTCCAAATGTGCCATAATTGTGTAACGATGTTTCCAAATGTGCCATAATTGTGTGACGATGTTTCCAAATGTGCCATAATTGTGTGACGATGTTTCCAAATGTGCCATAATTGTGTGACGATGTTTCCAAATGTGCCATAATTATGCGACGATGTTTCCAAATGTGCCATAATTGTGTGACGATGTTTCCAAATGTGCCATAATTGTGTGACGATGTTTCCAAATGTGCCATAATTGTGTGACGATGTTTCCAAATGTGCCATAATTATGTGACGATGTTTCCAAATGTGCCATAATTATGTGACGATGTTTCCAAATGTGCCAAAATTGTGTGACGATGTTTCAAAATGTGCTATAATTGTGTGACGATGTTTCCAAATGTGCCATAATTGTGTGACGATGTTTCCAAATGTGTCATAATTTGTGACGATGTTTCCAAATGTGCCATAATTATGCGACGATGTTTCCAAATGTGCCATAATTGTGTAACGATGTTTCCAAATGTGCCATAATTGTGTGACGATGTTTCCAAATGTGCCATAATTGTGTGACGATGTTTCCAAATGTGCCATAATTGTGTGACGATGTTTCCAAATGTGCCATAATTATGTGACGATGTTTCCAAATGTGCCATAATTGTGTGACGATGTTTCAGGGAGCTTTTATCGGTGGCTCGACTGCGCTGGTGCTCAATATGTACCTCAGTATTACTGGACAACTGTATGGCCACCATGCCCCTAAACTACATCCGGCGCCAACTTACGCATGCACAAATAGCAGTACATTGTATGACGGAACAACGTTTTTAATGTCCACTAATGGCAGCACCCAGCATGAACTGACTTCTGTGGTACCTCCACAAAGGTAGGAGGATACATTTTTGAAAAGCTCTTGTGCTGTTAAGCGGCATGAAGGAATTTTAGAAGTGTTTTTCTTGACATCTAATGAATGTTTACCTTGGCGTAAAATGAAGCTGAGAATGCTTCAGTGGACCAAGAGCTGACAATTCTATTGGATTACTGAACAGGTTAAAGCGCTGTCACGCTCACTCACTCACACACTTGATTGTCAGCAAATTGTTATTTTAGCTTGATTCTTACCACCTTTTTAGTCGTAGGATATATGTCATTATTAATGTATGGCTAGATTTGACTGAATTGCTAACGGCTGTAGGGATGGTGTAAATCCAGCTAGGGTCCATGCAGGAAGCAAATGTACTGTAAGTCCCCATGGTCCTTAGTATGGTGATCTACCTTCAGTTCTTGGCAATATATAGCCTGTTTTTTATATTGTATTGTCTTCTATAGTTAAAAGTTTTTAGTTTTTCATACTAGTTTTATATCTATATCTGTGATCCTCTTGTTATTTTACTGTCCTTCGGTGACAGGGTTATATAATTTGACGGGTTTTTTTTTTATTATTCAAATCCTCGTCACAATATGGCTGCAATATTGCCGATGTGACGTTAAATTTTAACTCACTCACTCACTCATTCTAATTTGATGTTATTACTAATGCAGGAATTTCAAACAAACAATTGTCTTGTGTTTATGAGAATTGTGGTATAAAGAAATTTAACATAGAACAGGAACAAGACGTTTATTCAGTATGATAAGCCACATAGCAAAGAGTACAATACACGCTGGTACACAAGTACAGGTGGGACAAATGTTACACTGTCTTAATATAATATTTATGATACATTAAACGATAAGGTTTTTTTCAAATTTTCAACATTTTTATGAACTTCAAATTATTTGATGCGAATAATGGATCAAATTTCTTTTGTATTATGATAACATTTATTGCACTTAAGTAAATCAGTATTGCCTTTGTTATTGTAACGAAACTGCTGATTAAACAGTTTGTGAGTGAGTGTGCTTAGTTTTACGCCGCACTCCGCAATATTCCCGCTATATGGCGGCGCTCTGTAGGTAATCGAGTCTGGACCAGACAAATCAGTGATCAACAGCATGAGCATCGATCTGCGCAACTGGGATATGATGACATGTGTCAACCAAGTCAGCGAGCCTGACCACCCGATCCCGTTAGTCGCCTCTTACGACAAGCATGGGTTACTGAAGATCAATATTCTAACCCGGACCTTCACGGGTTAGACAGTTTGTGGCTTACAGTCAGCCTGGTTCCGCTCACAGATGAAAGTTTTAGCCTGTATTTGGTACGATTATAGGTCTGTAGAACGCATTGTAGTAAAAGAAGTTACTCCCGCCAACTTTTTCGGCTTCACGGTAACATTGTTGCAGGAGGTGACTGAAACGATCGGACGATGCTGCTCGGTGACTTGGTTCAGAGCATGTCATCGTATCCTAGTTGCGTAGATCGAAGCGAATGAAGTCAATCACTAGACTTTCTGTACAGACCGCCGTCATAGTGTAGGATTGATGTTGATTACGTCTTTTAATAACAACCTAACCTAAGTTGTTATTGTCTAATCACAGTAAAACGGCGTCAACGTTTCACATGTACGACCTCTCCTACTGCTGGTACGGGACCACTGGCATGTTAATTGCTATCATTGTTGGAGTTGGGGTTTCATTAATAACAGGTTTGTAATGCACAGACAAGTTAACTAGAAACCTTTTGTACCTACACGAAAGCGTGAAAAAGGCAGGGCACAGGTTTTTATTATACATTAAAACAACATATTTCTAAAACCCAGTTGTATATAACATTGTTAAACAATAAATCTATAATTGAAACAGCATCAAATAATTAAAAGAAGTAATTTACAATAATAACTCAATACTTATTGTTATTATATGCTACCCCCTATGATATTTGTATTTCTGTAGATATATTATTTGAAAATGTTTTTCTAAACGCACGAGTGGCCAACCGAAATTCATACATGTATGTTTCCCAGTTTTAAAAGTGCTAGCTTATTCATACCTGATGTAGTTTGGTATATATTGATATAGAATGTTCTCTAGTGGCTTATACCTGGTACCTGTATATATTTTAATATAGAATGTTCTTAAAACCCAGGTCGCCGTGACCCCAGTACACTTGACCCGCAACTGGTATTCCCTGTCATCAGAAAACTGTGTAACTTGAGGTCAAACAGCGCAACTGCTGACGCCGAGAATTACAAAGAAGTTGCAGTAAGTGTCATCATCAGGGACAGAAAATATGCAGCGAAAATATGCATTCTGACGACAAATTGTTGTTTTAATCCTACATGTTGTGAAAGGAAATAGTTATTTAATTAATTCCGTTTGTGTCTTATGTCCGACACAAAATCTTAGTTCATGACTGTATGATTCCATAAAGTGTTCGACCAGATTTAACATAACATCATATTGTGACACTGAATGTCTTTTCAATTTTGTTTCAGATTCAGGGCGCGTCTAGTGAGGCGCACAAAGATATTGCATGCAAGACATCCTCTATAGAGACTCGTTTATAGGTTTTTGCTTGTGCATGTAGGCATAAAAAATATGTGTAATCTAAGTACAAAACAGACATATGGTATGTGTCATGTGGGGAGGTGAAATGCATGTACAATGACTGCTGGGTGACGTTGTCAGCTATAGCTCATCATTACTATTGACGTACGATACAATTCCCTATTTTGTTTATATGTGCTACTTACGGGTGTTGTCGGGTATAGCTCATCATTAATAATGACGTACGATACAAATCCCTATTTTGCTTATATGTGTTACCTACGGGTGTCTAAGATATGCTCACCTTTTCACGAACAACAGCCGTCCTACTATTTGACGGTGATTCCAAACGACTGCTCATGGTATACTCGTACAGTGGAATGTGCTTTTAAGTTGGTTGCCTTTGATTATCTCTTTTGTACTTTATCAAATATATACAAGTCAAAAGAAGGAATCGCTTTTATCGAAAATGTGCCAATTATTAGATGTTCTTCACACGAATAATACTTAAAACCTTGTTACCAAAAATGAGTGTCAAACTCTTTCAAATCTTTGTAGAAAGAAAATTTTGAATTAACGTCAACAGGTTTGTAAATGAGACACTAAATTCATGAAATCAGTAAAGAAACGCTCGACATCAATCGATAATCAACAAATTATATTAAAGCATTCATCTGTTTTGAGAAAGTGACTAAATTCTAACTTCTAAGAACGGATAACCCTGAAGTACGCAAAGACTCAAGATTTTACGAGCGCTTCATTCGTTTTGCTTCCCCAAGATAACCTACAATCTTTATGTGGTAAAAGCAAAGGTTATTTCTTGAGACAGTAAATGCCAAGAATGTGTGCTTACGGTAAATGTGGCAACTATGCGATGACACTTGCAATGCAAATCATTTGTTCACCAAATAACCGGGGTCGTTTGATAAACTTTCATAGGGAATTACATCCGACATCCCTCTTGTCACTGATATGTTCAAATGTCCGCGTTTGTGAAATCTTTACACAACTCAAAACTAACTCAAACTTAAACTCATATCTAATCTTGCTACATACACACGATCAAAAGTGCTACATCCCTCATACCACTGACATGGCAACAATACAGTTCTTTCTTTGTTAGCTAGCTGTTTCAGTTACCGGTGGCTTCCCTTTACAAAGTGATTATTTGGAGATGAACATTGTTTCATGAAAGAAGATGTTTAGGAGGCACTGATTTTACTCAGTGCAGAGTCATCTGAACTGTTGTGATGAAATTGTGTCTTAATGCTAACGTAAGGTCAATGATCACTGGTTTCAATGTTGTCCATGTGGAGTGGGTTTTAAGAAACTGATGGTCATGTTTGTTGTTAGATGAGAATAACAACACAAAACACCCATTGTTCAATGCGTTCTCGTTGTTCTTCTTCTCATCTGTGAGCATGTGCATCTACAAATATTCAAATTATGGGAGGCATGCGCACTATCAAGATAGTGTCAACTTCTTTCTGACTGAGGTGGTGACGGAAAGAGTGAATGAGTGAGTATGGTTTTACGCCACTTTTAGCAATATTCCAGCAATATCACAGCGGGGGACACCAGAAATGGGCTTTACACACATTGTGCTCATGTGGGGAATCGAACTCTGGCATGACAAGCGAACGCTTTAACCACTAGGCTACCCCACCTCCCCGACTTTATACATGTGAACTTCTTTATTTTGAGGAACACAACGTTTCCGACGTATATTCTTATTCCCTCATCCTATCACTGTTGTTTCACATATACGTATATAGCTATCTATTTCCTAGTTTCATTCAATATGATGGAGTAAGAATATACTCCTAAACGTTGAGTTCCTTTCTTCTGGGTCTCTACTTTGGTCATTAGCAAGGGAGTAACAACATTACAGTTAGTTAACTCCTTCTGAGTCTCTACCTTTGGTCACATTAGCAAGGACTAACAACATTTACAGTGGAGTTAACTCCTTCTGCAGTCTCTACCTTGGTCACATTAGCAAGGACTAACAACATTACAGTCAGAGTTAACTCCTTCTGAATCTCTACCTTGGTCACATTAGCAAGGACTAACAACATTACAGTGAGTTAACTCCTTCTGAGTCTCTACCTTGGTCACATTAGCAAGGACTAACAACATTACAGTTAGTTAACTCCTTCTGAGTCTCTACCTTGAAGTCACATTCATAGCAAGGACTAACAACATTACAGTTAGTTAACTCCTTCTGAGTCTCTACTTTGGTCACATTAGCAAGGACTAACAACATTACAGTGAGTTAACTCCTTCTGAGTCTCTATCTTGGTCACATTAGCAAGGACTAACAAACATTACAGTTAGTTAGCTCTCCTTCTGGGTCTCTACCTTGGTCACATTAGCAAGGACTAACAACATTACAGTGAGTTAACTCCTTCTGGGTCTCTACCTTGGCAAGTCATTAGCAAGGACTAACAACATTACAGTTAGTTAACTCCTTCTGGGTCTCTACCTTGGTCACATTAGCAAGGACTAACAACATTACAGTTAGTTAACGCCTTCTGGTCTCTAATTGGTCACATTAGCAAGGACTAACAACATTACAGTGAGTTAGCTCCCTTCTGAGTCTCTACCTTGGTCACATTGCAAGGTCTTACAGCGTTACAGTTAGTTAACTCCCTTCTGAGTCTACCTTGGTCACATTAGCATAGAGTCTAACAACATTACAGTTAGTTAACTCCTTCTGAGTCTCTACCTTGGTCACATTAGCAAGGACTAACAACATTACAGTTAGTTAACTCCTTCTGAGTCTCTACCTTGGTCACATTAGCAAGGACTAACAACGTGGGGAGTTAGTTAACTCCTTCTGGGTCTCTACCTTGTCGCATTAGCAAGGACTAAATAACAACATTACAGTTAGTTTACTCCTTCTGGAGTCTCTACCTTGGTCACATTAGCAAGGTCTAACAACATTACAGTTAGTTAACTCCTTCTGAGTCTCTACTAGCTTGGTCACATTAGCAAGGACTAACAACATTACAGTTAGTTTAACTCCTTCTGAGGTCTCTACCTTGGTCACATTAGCAAAGGACTAACAACATTACAGTTAGTTAACTCCTTCTGGGTCTCTACCTTGGTCACATGTAGGGACTAACAACGGTACAGTTGATTAACAGCTTCTCTGTCATTACCTGGCAAGGTCTAACAACATTACAGTTAGTTAACTCCTTCTGAGTCTCTACCTTGGTCACATTAGCAAGGACTAACAACACATTACAGTTAGTTAACTCCTTCTGGGTCCTCTACCTTGGTCACATTAGCAAGGTCTAACAACATTACAGTTAGTTAACTCCTTCTGAGTCTCTACCTTGGTCACATTAGCAAGGACTAACAACATTACAGTTAGTTAACTCCTTCTGAGTCTCTACCTTGGTCACATTAGCAGGACTAACAACATTACAGTTGAGTTTACTCCTTCACCGGGTCTCTGCCTTGGTCATTAGTAGCAAGGACTAACAACATTACAGTTAGTTAACTCCTTCTGAGTCTCTACCTTGGTCACATTAGCAAGGACTAACAACATTACAGTGAGTTAACTCCTTCTGGAGTCTCTACCTTGGTCACATTAGCAAGGACTAACAACATTACAGTGAGTTAACTCCTTCTGAGTCTCTACCTTAGGGTCACATTAGCAAGGACTAACAACATTACAGTTGGTTTAACTCCTTCTGAGTCTCTAACCTTAGTCACATTAGCAAGGACTAACAACATTACAGTTAGTTAACTCCTTCTGGGTCTCTACCTTGGTCACATTAGCAAGGACTAACACTTGTACAGTGAGTTAACTCCTTCACGAGTCTCTCTACCTTGGTCATTAGCAAGGACTAACAACATTACAGTTAGTTAACTCCTTCTGAGTCTCTACCTTGGTCACATTTAGCAAGGACTAACAACATTACAGTTAGTTAACTCCCTTCTGAGTCTCTACCTTGGTCACATTAGCAAGGACTAACAACATTACAGTTAGTTAACTCCTTCCTGAGGTCTCTACCTTGGTCACATTAGCAAGGACTAACAAACGTACAGTGAGTTAACTCCTTGAGTCTCTACCTTGGTCACATTAGCAAGGTCTAACAACATTACAGTGAGTTAGCTCCCTGAGTCTCTACCTTGGTCACATTAGCAAGGTCTAACAACATTACAGTTAGTTAACTCCTTCTGCAGGTCTCTACCTTGGTCACATTAGCAAGGACTAACAACATTACAGTGAGTTAACTCCATGCTCAGTCTCTACCTTGGTCACATAGCAGGTCTAACAACATTACAGTTAGTTAGCTCCTTCTGAGTCTCTACCTTGGTCACATTAGCAAGGATCTAGCAACATTACAGTTAGTTAACTCCTTCTGGGTCTCTACCTTGGTCAGCATTAGCAAGGGACTAACAACATTACAGTTAGTTAACTCCTTCTCCGGAGTCTCTACCTTGGTCACATAGCAAGGTCTAACAACAACATACAGTTAGTTAACTCCTTCTGAGTCTCTACCTTGGTCACATTAGCAAAGGACTAACAACATTACAGTTAGTTAACTCCTTCTCAGTCTCTACCTTGGTCACATTAGCAAGGACTAACAACATTACAGTGAGTTAACTCCTTCTGAGTCTCTACCTTGGTCACATTAGCAAGGACTAACAACATTACAGTTAGTTAACTCCTTCTGAGTCTCTACATTGGTCACATTAGCAAGGACTAACAACATTACAGTGAGTTAACTCCTTCTGAGTCTCTACCTTGGTCACATTAGCAAGGACTAACAACATTACAGTTAGTTAACCTCAGCTGAGTCTCTACCTTGGTCACATTAGCAAGGACTAACAACATTACAGTGAGTTAACTCCTTACTGAGTCTCTACCTTGGTCACATTAGCAAGGACTAACAACATTACAGTTAGTTAACTCCTTCTGAGTCTCTACCTTGGTCACATTAGCAAGGACTAACAACATTACAGTGAGTTAACTCCTTCTGAGTCTCTACCTTGGTCACATTAGCAAGGACTAACAACATTACAGTTAGTTAACTGGCTACTCTACTGGCCTAACTTAACTACCTCGCTGAGTCACATTAGCAAGGTCTAACAACATTACAGTTAGTTAACTCCTTCTGAGTCTCTACCTTGGTCACATTAGCAAGGTCTAACAACATTACAGTTAGTTAACTCCTTCTGAGTCTCTACCTTGGTCACATTAGCAAGGTCTAACAACATTACAGTTAGTTAACTCCTTCTGAGTCTCTACCTTGGTCACATTAGCAAAGGACTAACAACATTACAGTTAGTTAACTCCTTCTGGGTCTCTACCTTGGTCACATTAGCAAGGACTAACAACATTACAGTTAGTTAACTCCTTCTGGGTCTCTCTGCCTTGAGTCACATTAGCAGGGACTAACAACATTACAGTGAGTTAACTTCCTGAGTCTCTACCTTGTCACATTAGCAAGGTCTAACAACATTACAGTTAGTTAACTCCTTCTGAGTCTCTACCTTGGTCACATTAGCAAGGACTAACAACATTACAGTTAGTTAACTCCTTCTGAGTCTCTACCTTGGTCACATTAGCAAGGACTAACGGTAACATTAGTTAACTCGGAGTGAGTCTCTACCTTGGTCACATTAGCAAGGACTAACAACATTACAGTTAGTTAACTCCTTCTGAGTCTCTACCTTGGTCACATTAGCAAGGACTAACAACATTACAGTTAGTTAACTCCTTCTGAGTCTCTACTTTGGTCACATTAGCAAGGACTAACAACATTACAGTGAGTTAACTCCTTCTGAGTCTCTATCTTGGTCACATTAGCAAGGACTAACAACATTACAGTTGAGTTAACCTCTTCTGAGTCTCTACCTTGGTCACATTAGCAAGGACTAACAACATTACAGTGAGTTAACTCCTTCTGAGTCTCTACTCTTGGTCACATTAGCAAGGTCTAACAACATTACAGTTAGTTAACTCCTTCTGAGTCTCTACCTTGGTCACATAGCAAGGTCTAACAACATTACAGTTAGTTAACTCCTTCTCAGTCTCTACCTTGGTCACATAGCAAGGTCTAACAACATTACAGTTAGTTAACTCCTTCTGAGTCTCTATCTTGGTCACATTAGCAAGGACTAACAACATTACAGTTAGTTAACTCCTTCTGGGTCTCTACCTTGGTCACATTAGCAAGGAGTAACAACATTACAGTGAGTTAACTCCTTCTGAGTCTCTACCTTGGTCACATTAAGCAAGGTCTAACAACATTACAGTTGAGTTAACTCCTTCTCTCAGTCTCTACCTTGGTCACATTAGCAAGGACTAACAACATTACAGTGAGTTAACTCCTTCTGAGTCTCTACCTTGGTCACATTAGCAAGG